ATCAAATACGAAACATTACCGAAATACAAAAGTAGTAAAAGAAGACAAAGGTGGCACAATACCTACAAATCGGGTTAGAGTTAAACAAAATGATGGTATAAGAATGAACGCATACAAGCAATAATACTTTTATATTTTAACTCTAACATCCTCTGTCATAATTTAACCGATCTAAACGATAAAAACTATGATGATAGGTAGGTGATGGAGTCAGATCCGGTTATCGTTAATCAGGAAACAAAATTCTTATATCACGTAGCAAATCACTCAAAAATAATAGCATGCTATGAGGATATAGTGCGATACGCCTATAATTTTGAGCATCAGTTAATTAATTAAGTAGAGACACTTAAATCGCAGTTACTTCCTATTAAAGACGATCACTTAACTTTCTGGGGTCAGCCCTTAAAATTATTGCTGACACAACCGAGCACGATGACCTAATCGAAATTACGACAGGGTTAAATATGCTGATAGAAAACAATAATAAACAAACAAAAAATAAATTCATAGTATTCTTGCATACAAACATTTTTTTTGTATAGTGTTTTATGGAATCTTTCCCCTTTGGAAACTAAGAATAATTTCGTGAATTTTTAAGCTAATTCTTATTCCTGGAGCAAGTTAATTTACCACTGTATAGATTAACAAAAAAAGAATATAACTTAGATTTATCAAAGAATGTGTTTATATAGATATCATTAGGGATACCAAACATTCATATTTAAACTTCAACAAAAGATATATCATAAGGGATAAGTTGAAGTAAATTATAATATCATGAAAGACATTTGCGGAGCGCAGCTCCGATGTACAATAAATTGATGCAGCAAACGTAAATCCATTCTCTCTAATCGCTTAGCGTAGTTCTGCTGTAATCATTTTTTAGCTAGAATGTTTGGGTGGCTAGATAACCTTAATGAGTAATTTTTATGTAGTTTCTCTATTTCCTCGCTGACGGTGTTTATCCCGAGATCGTTGTGAATTGCGGAGTTTTTTACATACCAAGGGGCTTTGCATATTGATCTTAAGCCTTTAGACTACAGTCTTTAAATTCTATCTAGGCTAGATTTAGATGCTGAGCCCCAAATTTGGGTCCCGTACGTCCAAGACGGCTTCATAAGCGTATTAAAAACTAAAACTTTGTTAATTTGGACTTAGAGCCTACAATCCAATGCAAGTTCGCAATTTTCAATTTGGTTTGAGTAATCTTGTTGTCCATGTAGTTTTTCCAGGTGACTCTTTTATCCAATCTAACTCCCAGGTAGGTAACGAGTTTTTCTGAGGTATTGTATTCCCATTCATAGAGATTGAAAGACATGTGTCTTCTCTTAGGTTAAATGTTACTTGTATACGCTAAGACTCATAGACTTTAATTCTCTAAGTTGTAGTGGCTAAAAATTACCTCTAAATGTTCATGTAATCTGCAACTTGCTGTCATGGGGTTTGAATGGAGATCGTCCGCATACAAGCATGGAAAAATTTTTTTAGATTCTAGAATACCGATATGTAACAATGTATTTACATCTATTGAAAAATGTAAGAACTATATTGGAAACTACATACTTATTTTAAATTAAAATTCGGATAATTGTACTATTAACATATTAGAAAATACGCCAAATGTGAAGTAGTACACGAGAGTAATGCGCTTCTCTAACTACTTGAAAACGTAAATATTTTTTACGAACTAAAAACATACTTCGAATAATTTGAAAGGCGACGGACCCAAGTTAATACAAATTAACTACTCCACAACAATTCATGGAAATATTTCAACCTATTTCAACCACCAACAAGAATTCAAAGATGCCATACAAAAACAAAACCGTGAACAATTAGAAGTTCTACGCATCAGCGAATCAAAAGTTGAATATAAACTTCACAACATCAAAGTATTATCATTTTTCCTGTTGCCATTCGAAAAACATCCCGTCCAATATACATTTTATTACATTTTGAGGTTATGCATACTGGCCAAACTGTGCGAATGCTACAAAGCAAAGAACGCAGAAACAAGAAGGAAGAGAATCGATTAAATGTATAAAACATTCTACAGATTTTATCAATCTAATTCGCCGAGGTCATCAAGTGGGACGTCCAGGAAACATGCTGCTTCGACGAGATCCAGAACGAAAGCGGGATTAGATGTGCCGGTTTAAGGAGGAATGTGACGCTCTGTTTCGTAAAAGCTCGTGTGACTGCTGAGTTGCCAGACAAAAACCAACTTAAGTTTGCCTTAAGACCGTACTGAGCTTTATAGATCTAATCAACTGATAGCTGAAAGTTTGCTTAATTAACTTAACGTCCAAAAGCAAATCCTGGCACATCTAAATACTAATAACTTCAAAAGCATTTCAAATGAGATCAAAAGACTGCTTATGACTCTGAAAACATAAAACTTGATATTAATACTGCCATCATAGCGGAAACAGCTAAATTAATAGCAACGATGTTCATTATTGAGGCTCTCCAAATTAGTGGAAATATTGCGGAAAATTTTAACGCAACAGCTGACATTCGATCTATTATGCGCGAAGAGTTTATAACTCCTAAAAAATCGTTACGGGCTACCGCTAACATTTCCAACATGAGTTACGCGAAAGTCCTCCGAGAAAATGCTCCGATGCACCGGATGCATCAACGCCAAAAGCGTTGATCTGTTGCAAGCATTTTACAGCAACATCTCCTTTAGAAACATTGATTTCGCTTTTACCAAGATTTTAAACGTATCTAAAAGAAAGTATATATTGAATTTGATAATAATGACTAGCACGAAAACATCATGTGAAGGATAAAAGTGTGAAAGAAAAGCTTGAGCTGCAGAATGAAAAACTCTTGCCTGTCCATTCGAAACATCAAATGTGAAGAAGCAGTTCGTGCATAAACTTCGAGTGTAGTTGGCAGAACCTCGATTTAATTGGGATGATAATTGAGTGTCTTTCATTGTAAGTCAGTGTGGAATGTGCCAATCTACTATTCACACGAAGAAGTCCATCTATGTCCAGAAATGGATTCAGAACGAGTAGTGAGCTCTTTTTGTTGATGGCTGCTTTTGTTCGCAAAGCATCTTTCTCGCTAGGAAAATAGCGCTTTTGGGATATATCGATGATGCTCATTCACCATATGTCAGATGTGGCAAGGTGAATAATGGTTCTCCCGTTGGACTTATTTCCGCCATAGAAATATGTTTCACTCTTGTAAACTGAGTTGTTTTTAAATGGTTGCAACCAGTTTTGCTAATAGCAAAGCGACACATAGCTGTAGCGTGGTACTACCTTTCCTTTTGCAACCAGAAGGATGGACGTCATTTCCTTGTTAGCATGTGTACAGGTGTACATATCGCATCGCAAAACCCGTGGATTGGTGCAGCCAGTAGATATATTGATTCAAAACATCGTTGAGTGAGTTGCCTGAGCTCGATTTTCTCGAGGCGTTAAACACCGCTCGAACTTTATTGGTCACTTTATCCGGTTTTACAACCGCATGATATGGCAAGTAGAAAGAGTGATAGTTACCACTGGAGATTACTTCACGCTGGTAGGTGAACTCCATGTGGTAGAGGTTAAGATATTCTTGCAACACATTTGTGGGCATTGATCCGTTGCTTAGTTGGGTATGATTCCAGAGTCAAGGAACAAAGTTTGGAAGAGTTTTCGACGATGTGTCCACCCATTCCAAAAATTTCGAACTTGGAATATTCGACTGGAACTCGCAGCGTTTTCTGAACATTCGAGGAAATGAAAGTATTTTCTGAGCCTTGGTCAACTAAGGCTTTGAGTTGGCACAGTTCTCCTTGGTGATCTACTGCGACAATGGCAGTTAGAAGGAGAGCTCTGTATCGTATCCTGCATGTAGTTATTGAATATGCGCTTGCTTAGAACATCACGGTTGCTCGCTTGGATTGGAGCTTTTATGCGCTTGTCGAACTAGAGAAGTTGGCTTGGCAGTTGGGTTTTGCATGGTAGATTTATGAGAACTGCTGCTGCCGGTTTTGCATTTAGGTGCAACAAAATATGATGCCGTAACTGGCAATGTGCACATGCAAACCTGCTCGTACAATCATTACTGCGATGACCTCGTGATAAGCAGTTTTTTCGGAGTTTATTCTGCTTCGCAAAACGCATTCGGTTTAATACCGACATTTTCTTGAAATTGTGGCATTTTTAAATTGGGTGTCGAAAATTGCAACACGGACATTTGTTATCCCTTTTATGTTCCGCCAGAAATGACAGTGTGCTCAAGAAGTGAGGAAGTCATTTGCGGCCATACTGGCAACTCTTTTCGAGATGAAAGAGATTGTTCCCACAAGGATAATGTGATTTCTGGCAGTTTCGAGGAGCATATGTAGACTAATATTGGATCCCAACTATCTGTCGATACTCCTGGGGAATGTAAGGCAGACAGACAGTCATTTATTGTTGTTTGTAATCTTTGTTATTGCTCGCTATTTTCGGTCTGTAGAATACGTTTGTTTTCGTATTTTGTCCGTAATGCCTCCCACGCTAGCTCGAAATTATCGTCGCTCAACGGATATTGTTTGTTTTGAGCATTTTATTACCGGAGATGGTACAATTTTTGTGCACGGGAGAACTTAGGATGGTTAATATAGACAGCTGTGTTACAGGCTGGGACTTTAAGGCATATTTTTGAATAGGAAGTTTCTTCTGGAATTCGTTGTCACTTAATGATGAAACTCGAATAGAGTTTATACGAATATCGAATATTCGCACTTCGTGCTTTATTAAAGAGGAATTAATACACTTTGCCGAAAAGGAATTTAAAAATATCACAAACACTTTCACTTTTATAATTGTGAATTATATACTTATGTAATAAAAGTAAATGTAATAAATAATTTATGTACGAGTATAATTTGTAAAAAGAAATTAAAATTTTTCAGTTATTAATTATTTAGTTACTATATCGAAATGATATAATTCGTTTCGTGATATTTTCTGGTATAATATTGCGGTAAGGATCACATATCTTTGTACAAATATAATGATTTTGTTACTTTAATTGTAATTGAAAAAAAATTTACTCTCACCATTTGCTCGTTGGTTCAATGGTGTATATGAAGGTTGACATAAGCTTCTTCGCAATCGATAGCCCCAATAGTTCCTCCAGCAAATGGCGACGTAATAAAAAGTCTAACCTTCGAAGACAACATTGAACGGTTGACTGCTTCTATCACGCGATGAATTCAATAGCTTACTGACGACTGACTTATGGGTATTCCCCATTGCTCTCCGGCGGGACGTTGGTAGCATCCAGTTGCAAAGAATCGAAGAAGGCTAGAACGTTTGAACATTTTAATAGTGTAAAAACAGAAAAAATATTTAAAAGCTACATATATTACTATCTGTTTCTCCGTAGCTAATGCTGTTTCTGCCTTTTAAAACTCAGTTGCATTCAAGTGGAAACGATTTTCAACTTCCGGATGAAGTGTACAATACCTCCTCATCTTGGGATAAAACGTATGTCAAATGCTCAAAAGATATTTTTGTTGATAATTTAATTTTTATTTTTATAAAACTGAGGCGATTTCCCGATTTACTTTACTTTTTTTCAACCATAATCAAACATAATGAAATATTTTGTCGATATCGCTAACAACTTAAAAATACTCGTCGCTTAGTTAGTGATTTCTTGAGGAGCTTACGACAACAGCGAGAGTGAATATCGTTGGGATAAGTACACCGAATATTAAAACCGCCACAACTATCGCTAAGTCTTCTTTGGGATCCGAAAATCGACTTTCTATTTTTAGAGAAAAGCGAATATCGTTAAAAATATAGATGAGTATTCTTTGCGTTTCGAAAATTTTTATACGGTGCTTAGAAATAGCGAATGTCGTTAAAATTATCGTTAAGTCATTTTAACGATCCGAAAGTCGTTATAATGTATGTAGAGAATAGCGAAATCGTTAAAATTGTCCTTAAGCCATTTTAAGAACCCGAAAGTTGTTATAATCCGATAGAGGATTCCCCTATAGCTCAAAGAATAATACTGTAACTACCCGACTCACGTACCTTCCATCCATAGCATCTTATCTTATGAGAGCGCCATGTAAACACGAAAATTTGTCACCGCTTGCTCATGCCTCTTTAGTGACGGGTATTCTGATCAAATATATAATTTTCGCCAACAAATTTCATAATTTATGTGTTCGAATATAAATGCGAATCAAATATACATGATCATACGGTAACAAATAATTAATTACTTTAAGAAAGACTATACTGGCAACCTTGTATAGCAAGGAGAAATGAGCCCAGCCTGTTTTACGATAAAAATCAGTAACGGCATGGGCAAGCGATGACAACTTTGTGTTTACACGGCGCTCTCATAAAATAGGTTGCTATGGACGGATGGTATGTAAGATCGGTAGTTGCAGCATAATTAAGGCTCGCGTGTGCCCGATGCTTAGAAGATAAATATATACACAATATATGCTTCTATGTACTGTCGAGAGCGAGTATCGTACAAAGCGGATATTGGAAAAATGCAGTGAGTAGATTTCTTGCAGTAAAGTTAGCTCTTTAAAGTGCGCTCTTTTTTTGGTGCTATATTTTCTGGGTCACTGAACCATACAGGGCAGCTGACACTACAAATAAGTAAAAGATTTAACCTTTTAATGCAAGTAGGCTTCATAACTGCAATTAGATTTAGTTTTGTTGTGTATATATGTACAGTAGGAATGCTGTATTCGCGTTGCAGTACTTAGCGTTCAAGAAAACTGATCGCTACCTTTTCTTTGACGGGATTTTAAAATTGGAAAATTGTTTTATTTTTTTTTTTTTATAAAATATTACAAGCCGTAACTTGGATGGATTTTACCAACCGCAAATTTTTTAATTTCAAAGGGCTTTTTGCGGGAAGAAAGCTCCGCTGTTAAATATATGTATATGGATGTCTACTAATTGCAGTATACATTTTATAAATTCTTTTTAAGGAAATTAAAAAATTGCCTACTTACTACTTAGGCTCCACACCGTGTTTTCTTCTCTTTTTTGTATAATTTAATGTGTGTGTATATATGTTGCCCTTTCAACGGCTGGTGTTTTCAGCGTTGTTGTGGTGGCTGATGATTCGCTAAGTTGTTGTGGTGACATGTAGCAAGTTCCTTGGTACAGAGTGTCTTTCTTCTTTTAACTGGGACTTTGTAGCGTTGACTTAAAGCTGTATATTTGTTCACTTTCTGCACTTATTTATGAGTATATTTACATATATGTATGTTTTTGAATAATTTTTTACTTATGTGAATATTTGTAAAATTATGTATATGTGTATATGTTTCACTCTTAAGACACTTACACTGTCACTGCTTGTATGTATATTTAATTTTTTTATAAAAGCTATTTAAATATTTTTTTTTTTAGATTTTTTAGTTCTGTTTTATTTTTTTATAGTTTTGGACCACAAAATTTTTTTATTATTTAATTTTAAAGTTTTTATATTGTACGGGGTACGTAGTTTTTTTTTAGTTTTAAATTTTGTGTTTTAAATAACTTTGTTTTTAATATCAGTGGCTGTGGCTCATTTTTTGGTCCGAAGTCCCATAGTCAAGTCTCTAAGGACTTTCAGAAGTAAGAGGGTGCCGGCTATCGAGAGAATTCATATATGTATATATATAATATTTGTAAATAGTAATTTAATGCAGTGTTCCACAATAAACTAAATGACAGTGTCCGCGGTCTAAAGGCTGCCGTGAGCGAGCGAGGGCAGCCAGTATTGTTTCACAATCTATTGTAAAATGGCGGCCACGGTAGCCAAGTGGTTAGCATTGCGTACTGGCACTCGGAAGGCTTGAATTCAAATTCGGGTGCCACCAACATCCAAAAGATATTGAAAATTAACTTAAATTTTCTAAATGAAGGAATGTCCACCCTTCCGAGTGTACTTCGGACATAAAATAAAGGTCCCTTCATTTGTTGGAAAAACATCAAGACGCAAAACAACAAACCGGAGGGGGAGCGCCAATTATATGTATATTGTAAAATGAACAAAATTAATTATTAACGTACTGTAAAATCGAAATACTACTCTTAGTTTATAAGTTATTAAACACAGTAATCTTAGATGAGGGCATACGGTGGGTATGTTTGGGTCGAGTCATACGTAAGAGTTTATTTTGCTACAGTATCCATACCTAAGTAGTGCGAATTGTATGCAGCTCGAGCTCTTGGTTTGTAATAGTTGGTGCTTTTTCAACAAAGCACGCCGTTCACGGGAAAGGAGTTTTTGAATGTGTTTACTGACTCCTGGTGAATGGCGTTCAGTCTTAATTGTACGCCGTCATGTCCAGCGGTTGTTTTTTGTGTTACTTGATGGTGTCCTTCATGTTTAGCATTTCCTTTCTGATGTGTCAAAGTGGATGTTCGGCTTCTATGAGATTCCTATTGGGGTGTTCCCTACTGTAGCATCCCAATAGAAATTGCTTGCACACTCCGTATACGAGCGCAATTGCTGCAAAACTCCAGAGCAGCAACAAAATATCTTTGTTGTTTATTCTTGCTTGCCTACCACTATATTTCTCTCTGCTAATCGAGTTCATTCAAAATTATGTTATACCGTGATATTTCACATTTCAGAAAATTTTGTTACTATCTCGTATTCTAAGCTCACTATTGCCCTGTAAATTTTGTTACCAGCGAAATAGGAGGTAAAAAAAATGTTGTAAATTTGAGAAAAAATAAAAAACTAAAATGGGTAGGCATATTTTAGGCCAGGAAATCATTGGAGATGAATTAAAAGTGCAAAAAAAAGATTTCGAGAAAAAATTACTCTCTTAATTTGTAAGATAACGTTTTCATTCAGCTTTTTTTTGTTGTCCAGGCATATTTTCTATAATAATAAACAAATTAATAAAACTCATTGATTTATTTGCGCACCGTCTTCCATTTCGATGTGAATATTCTTCTTTTTTACTTTACCAACTGGCAAATGTAATTTGACAAGGACGAATATAGCAGTGCTGCCAATTTTTTTTTTTAAACATTGTTACCAGTTCGCCAGAATACCAAATTCAATCTCGGGTGTTAAAAAAAGTAACAAAATTTACTTTACCGGTAACTGTGAGAATAAGCCTGTTAGTATTAAAATATAAAAGTTTTATAAATTATTTAATGATTGCAATCATTTTAAGTTAAAGGTAAAAAATTCACCAAACACGCTACGCAACGCTTCGAGTTGCTGGTGCGCCGCGCGAAAAAGGTTCCGACTGCAAAGGGTTAATGTAATATAAAGGCATGTTAAAAAGGTGAACCGATGTTTGCTGGGGCTGCTAGCATATTTATAAATAAGTTAGTCCCGTATTGTTGAACTGAGGAAATCTTCACCAGAATCGACGAACGATTTTTTACGCTCCATTGTGCGATCACCCTAAGCAAATACTGTAATATTTGCCAGGAAACAAGTGTTAAGTCTTTAAATTTTTAAAATGCTAGGCTTACAAAATTAAGTTCACAGGTATTCCAATTGAATTCGTGCTGAGACCTATTTATTATTATTTATTTTTATTAAATTAACCTTTATATCTCAGCGTTTGAGACACATAGTGGCTGTTGTTGTTGTTATAGCGGTTCGCTATAAATTTGATCAGTCTAAGTCGCCGAGGTCATCTAATGGTAGGTCCAGGAAACGAGCTGTTTCGACGGGGTTGGACCAGAGGGAGAAGGGGGTTAGATGAATTGGTTTGAGAGGGCATGTGAAGAGGTGATTAGTGTCGTGCGGAGACTCTCCACATGCAGGGCATACGTTGGGTGTGCTGGGGTCTAGTCTGGATAGGTAGGAGTTTAACCTGCTACAATATCCAGACCTAAGTTGTGTCAGGGTCACGCGGGTCTCTCGAGGCAGCTCAAGCTCGTTGTTTGCTATAGGTGGTGGTTTTTCTCCGAGTACGCCATTCTCTGGAAAGGAGTCTTTGAAGGTGTTGACTGACTCCTGGTGAATGGCGTTCAGTGCTTGTCTGTACGCCGTCCTGTTCAGGGGTTGTTGACATGTTGATGGATCGTGTCCTTGAAGTCTAGTACTCCCTTCCTGATGTGCCTAGGTGGAGGTTCAGCCTCTATTAAGTGCCTACTGGGGTGCTCCCTGCGGTAGCATCCCAGTAGGAACTGCTTGCACAGCAAAGCATTATGCTCCTTAACTTGTAGCATAGATGCTTCCCTGTGCATGTGATGCTCCGGCGACATCAGGAGGTTTCCTGTCGCAATCCTGAGGGCGGTGTTTTGGCACGCCTGTAGCTTCTTCATCTGCGTCCCGTTCGTCCCCGGCGTCCAGATCGGAGCAGCATAGTTTACGACCGGCCGGCCAATTGCTTTGTAAGTAGCCAGCAAAGTTTCTTTATCTTTACCCCAGGTGCTGCCGGCTAGCGCTTTGAGTATTTTGTTGCGGCTCTGGAGTTTTGCGGCAATTGCGGTCGTATGCGGAGTGAAGGAGTGCAGGCTGTCTTGAGTTACTCCCATTATTTTTG